TAAAAAAAAAAAAAAAAAAAAAAAAAAAAAAAAAAAAAGTGAGTGTCCAGCAGCTTGAGACTTTATGCATGTAAAGGTCTGCCCTTCAAGATGCATCAAGGGCAAGAAGAGCATTTACAGTATGTACAGGTCTCTCCAACCTTTCTCCAAAGGGACCACGTTTGTAGCCACAATCTCAAGACAGACATCTCTCTAGCCAGAAGAACCTTCACACACCAGGGTCGGCACGGAGGCAGGCCAAACTCGGAACCGAAACCTCCAATCCCTCTTTCCTAATTCATTCAAAGCTAAATCTAATGTATTGCTTCCCAAACAACTTCCCACACATCTCTATGCCTCTATTACAGTTCTTCATTGGCTAACTCAAATGTCACCAACTTCGGAGGTTTCTCTGGCCCCAGACCAGCAGTGCCATTTCTTCTCCAACTCTAGGGGCGGAGAGGATACACAAAGTCCTGGTCCATTCCGGGGCAACCTAACTCAGGGCCTCAATTTAAACACTTCTACAATGGATTCGCAAAGCCCACTAATACAAGCGCAGAGACGGCGCAGGGAGTATGGAAAGGAAGTACTTCCCAGAGAAACCTAGGAAGGACTCTTGAAGCTTGTTAAGGTCTGAAGACAGGGATAGGTGGAAGGGGAAGGAGTCAGATAGGAGGCCACGGGCCCATCTCCTGACGGAGATTAGGTGAAGACCTGGGGCTTTAACAGAGGTAGGAGCACGGCCGGGCGTCTCCTCTGTAATCTGTCTCCTACAGGGCCCCGTACTGGATGAGCCCTGCACACTGGCTCCCACTCCTCTGCAGATTATTTGGGGGCTCCAAGTCCCAGGGTCTAAGCCCTCACTCCCAAGCCCCGCCTGCCGCGGCCGTACCTGGTCGGAGTCTTCGTTTTCGCTGCTGTGACAGCACCCCATTGCTGGCGTAGGCAGCACTCAGGACCGCGCCAAGGAGGAACTGCGTCAGGAGCCCTTCCGGTCACGTGACCTACCGGCTGCCTCTTACTCCGTTCCCCTCCCCCCTGGCTATCGGATCCCAGAGCCACAGATGAAACCCCAGCCCCGTGACTACCTTAACCCAATATTCTTAAAAGTTTCTTGTTATAGTCTAATATGTTAGCAAAATAATGCATATTGTTTCACACTTAAAACAAATACTGTATCTTCCTTGAAAAATGACAGAATTTATATCATGTAGAGTCAAGAAAAAGAAAATCAATCCAATATTTCAAAAGAGCAAATCGACTTCTCATTTAATAGGCTTATGATTTATACAACATGAGGGAAAACATCAGAAATAAGTATAGAAAACACAATTACTAAAGGAAATTCAAGAAAATAAGTACATTTGGGAAGCCCATGTGAAAAGGTGTCTTAAAACCTCTTAGAATACATCACAATTTTAATTAAACATACCATTTCTACACTGATATAATTTTCAATATATGACTAGTACTTCGATGCAATAACATAGGAAAAGATATAGTTTGGTTTTGGACAAATATAGAAAAGATAAGAGTTGAAGAAGTTCAGAGTCGTGTGTGAACCGGTTTTCTTTGGACAGGTGGAGCACCTGCGGAGGTTAGACCTCATTTATCCTGCACGATGGTGGCCATCAAAGAGCATGGCTGGTGCTGTCCAAGGGGCAGGACACCACCTGTCCAGCACCAGCAGCATCAGCAGTGCCCCAGGCAGTGCACGCACTTAGAACAAGTTTGGAAGTGTTGGATCCTTTACACAAATGCCCAGCTGACACAGTGCACTGTGTTTGGAGGGGGGGTGAGTACCCAATATTCTGATCATTTTGATTGCACTATTATTTATCTGACACTCTCATATTTACATCAACCCAACTGCTGCATTGTCTCACAGTATCTTACTGAAAGCAATGTTACGATGAAGCTGTTGAACAAAGCACATTTATGATGCCTGTAACTTTCATGTGACAAGCTTTCAGTGAAGAAGTCTCGCATTATTTAAGGATATATCAGTAAAAATTGGAAAAATGTAGTGAGTCTATGCAAGCATATCTTTGTGGGCAGAAAACACAAATCCAAAAAATAAATCTAGGGACTTTTTGGTGTGTGGAAATAATTTATCAGGGTCAAATGGCGTGCATTATAAGTCATTTAAGTTAAATTACTTGGAAGGATAAAGGGGGGTAAGGAGGCAAAGTATCCTCTAATTAATTTATTCATTCCTCCAAAACACATCATGAACTTCTATACTCCCAAAATCAACAGACTGCTATTGATTTAAGCAATGAAATAGGGGATTCCATTCTAGGTTTTGGCTCCGGAACTGAAAATCCACTATCAGACCAATCACCAAAGGAATATATTCACTTCCTTAATTGAATTTAGAGACTTTTAGTTCAGCAATAAAGCACGAACAATAGCCATTTGGCTAAAATGTTGATATCATGTTTACATATTAATAAAAATCACTTACAATGTCACTTAAAAGAGGTAAATGTGGCTTTTTTGTTTTTTCCTTTCCTAAGCTAAACCCTGTCGACCTTTTAAAAAACTGGTGTCTGAATCCTTCTCGTCGTGGAAAACGCTCCTGCTCCTGAGGCAGTGTCTGTCTTCTCAGGTGGCTGATGTATTCACAATTAGCCTTTGGGCTCTTCCTCACTGTCTTGGGCCAGCTCCATGGCAATGCTTTCCTCTGCCTCTTCCTGTCTTCCTGGGTAAGACTCCAGGTTCTTCTACCCTTTATATCACCTTAGCCTTCCCGTGGTTCACAGCAGGATACACAGGCAATTGAGGCGCAGTCTCATACTTCCCTCTTCTCTCCCCTTACGAGCCCTTTCAACTCCACTATATTATTTTTATTATAGTCAGATTGATTACTTGTTGGCTAAGATAGAATAGCATCTCACTTTTTATTCTTCTTTCATTTTTAGTAAAAAAAATAGAAGGAGAAGAACTAATTTTCACTGAGTACCTCCCAGGATTGAGGAAGAGGGCTGGATATTTTATTTATTTTTTTCTCACATTAGCTCCACAATGATGTCATTATTTTGTTCACTTTGAGAATGTGGTTCCAACTAGAATTCAGTCTTAGACTGCTTGTATGTTATCCTGCCATCTTTCACTCCACATATGTTAGTCTTCTAGTGATCAACAGAGGAATGATGAATTTCTTACAAAGGAATATAATTTGGAAGATAATTTCTCTCAGAAGACAGAGCACAGACTTGTGGGAGGAGCTGGTTCAATGAATGAATATAATACAAATTAGATTAAGGTAAATGGGGGAAGTCCTTTACAAACCAAACAATCAATAAAGCTTTTCCTGGTAGAAGAACGGCTTCCTCCAAGGAGAAGAGGGCCTTTGAAAGCAGAGTGCTTCTTTGTCAGGTAATATCTGCATACGTTGAGGGGAGGGTGGCTGGGGAGCCCTTGGGGATTAGAGGCCCAGGTGCACACAAGAAAGCAAGAACGAGTCATGGAAGAAGGTTGTTCATCCTTAAAACTGAAGTGCAGGCTCAGGGTATAAAACGCAGGAAGATGGATTTGTAAGTAGTACTACGTGTGGACAGGAACAAAATTAGATTGTTTAGTAATCCTGGGTCACACCTTTGTAGAGGCATTAGCTTAACCTGAAGCTTCCTGCGCTAGGCTAGCCCGTCCTCCTAAACAGCAATAGCTACCCTTGGGGCTACCATTGTTCACTGTTTTGTTCACACCAAGCCAGGGCTCTAGTCACCTGACTTCCAAGTGAGGGCTGCAAAGTCCAACTTGCACAGAGCTCAGAGAGGCTATTTCTATAGCACCCTCAAGCCTTGTGCTTATATGATAATTCAGGAGTTTTTGTTGGTTGTTTACGTTAGACACAATTTACTGCGGCATTTTATGTAAATTCAAGGGCATATTTTCAATAAGCAGGGAAAAAAGGTTTTTCTTTTGACATTTATTGCTATTTGAAATTTAGATACCTTTAGGAATAAATTATAGTTTCACTCCAAAGAAACTACGTGGTTTATTGATACTTAAAGCCTATTAAAATCTTAACATAAAATAATTTAGACTAAAACTCACTTTCCGAGGATTTAGAAAGATGTCTTTGTAAATTCAAGTCAGAGGCAGGATTTCATTTCCAAGCAACATAAATTTCCTTGATTACCAATTATGCAATCTTATTCCTATAGCAGCAGGAAGAATTATACTGTCACTGTCACCTCTTGACTTTTGTAGTGCTGTAAATGCTTGCTAAAAAAAGAATGAACTTTAATCCATGTTTTAGCATTTGCAATATTATGATTTATCTAATTTTAAATAACTTTTCTAAACCTTCATTTTCTCATTAACTTACATATTTGATTTTAGAAATATTAGGAGCTTATACTTAATTTCCCTCCTTATTTAAAATTTTTTATAAAACTAGTAAGTATAGAAAAAGGTATATAACCATGTATGTTTTAAACTCCTGATAACTTTTACAATGTTAACCACTTAGCATTGCCTCTAATATATCCAGTTAAATAGCAAATTTAGACTAAGACTTGAAACTTCCTAAGTTCCTGAGACTTCTTTCTTTTCAGAGCACGTTTTATGATAAAAGTTTTTTATAAAATTTTATACATTGAATAGTCACTCTGTTTCTTACATTCAAATATAAGATAAACATCGACACCAAGACATGCTCAACCAATAGAGAAGTATCAGGAGAGATAGGATTTCTCAGCCTTGAAGAATTGTAATATTCTGTAAAAGTACTGACCTTTAAAGGAAACTTACAGTGCACAGAAACATGAAATGATGTGAACATATTTAGGGGGTCTAGCTACACAAATTTCCATGGGAAATATTTTTATTTCAACATAGTTTCTACAAAATAGGTAGTATACATCGGATATATATAATTACAGGGGATGTTTCTAATTTTACAATTTTATGAATGCATGTATAGCCTGATGAAACACTAAAAGATAAAAATGTTTCCTTTGAATCCAAGCAGTGAACGTGACTAAGTTACTTTGTGCTGGGTCTACAGTTAGAGTTTTAGAGATACTGTATATAGGATGTATTCATTTAATCACCTACCTGTACATTCACTTGCTATTTATTGAAGATCATTATGTTGATGTGATGCTGACCATTGCAGTTACAATGACTGAGTTTTTTTCATTTCCAAAAAACAAGATCACCTTATAAAGACAAAAGTGTGCCAAGATGTACCAAACTCTGTTCTCCATCTTCTAACTGCATTTTTATCTACCAGTTCACACAAAAAAATACAATTATATTATTTCCTCTATCTAATGTAGATCTCCTATAATTATACTTACAGGCATAAACTTGGTATAATTATGCAAAATATAAAGCTAAAGTACATTGACAGATGGGTAGTTTATCTGTCCCCCAAAAATAAGAGTCTATCTGAGTGAAGAGAGTAAAATCAGTGATAATTATGTGGTTATTGCATAGTAAAAACTATTGTGGTTACAAAAAAGAACAACATGTTCTTTTAAATGATAATGAAAACTTTAGTGCCTGACTCTATCTTCTATAATATTTTCAACTTTCACTGAAAAAAAAAAATAAAAGAGAAAAGGGAAAAATATTTTTGTGCTTTCATTTTTTTCCCTTGCATGCAAATGAATCAAGCTATTCTTCAATGGGTACATAAGAGAGCAAATTGAAGACTTAACCATTAATAAAATAAGACAAGAAACTTCCAAGAAGGAGGTAGAAAATGGTAGAAAATCTATCACCTTGTAATGAAAGGAAAATCAAACTAGATGTGAAAAAAATGAACGTTAGTACAAGAATAATGAACAGTGAAACCTAACCATAAAGTGTTTAACACTTGCAACTACATAGTGAAACTATCAATATACTTCTCTGACAGGAAATACTAGAGAGACTGAGTTAGGCCCCTTCAGTGTACAAACTAATACCAGAGGCTGCGTTCTGAAATGTTCATGAATCCTGTGAGG